CCATCATTCTTGCTGCAGATGCATCAGCTGTAGGAATCGGTGCTACAATTTTTCATAGATTTCCTGACAACTCTGAAAAGCCTATTGCATATGCTTCGAAAACATTGACTTCCACTGAAGCGAACTATTCTCAAATAGAAAGAGAAGGGCTGGCCATCATTTTTGCGATAAAGAAGTTTCGCCCATATCTACTGGGAAAAAACTTCATTTTACAGACCGACCACAGAGCCTTGCTTACAATTTTTGGATCTAAGAAAGGGGTACCTACCACCACTGCCAATAGACTTCAGCGTTGGGCACTGATACTGTCTAACTATACGTATGACATTGAATACATATCTACAAAAGATTTTGGTAAAGTCGATGGTTTGAGTAGATTACCGTAATTTCAACCTAATTCTTTTGATTCCAATGATGAGGGACACCATACAATAGTAGCGACAATTCAAACAGAAGTGCAGTCCGAGATCCCTATTACTTGTACTGAAATCGCTGAGGAGTCTGTTAAGGACCCTGTTTTGAAGAAGGTTATGCACTATGTAAAAGTTGATTGGCCTACTAAGAGTCCAGATGAGAACTTGAGGCCTTACTTTTCTAAGAAAGATGCACTGACTCTACATAATAACTGTCTTCTGTGGGGAATAAGAACTGTTATTCCACCTAAATACCGAACTTACATCATGGACTACTTGCATGAATCTCACATTGGCATGGTCAAAATGAAGTCTGAGGCTCGGGGTCATGTGTGATGGCCAGGTATGGATGCTCTAATTGAACAGACGTGTCACCGTTGCCGTGAATGTAACTTGTTTGCTAAAAATTTACTAAGTAAAACACATCTAGTCAACTGGCCTAAAGAAAGTGAACCTTGGAGTCGAATCCATTTAGATTTTGCTGGACCATTTTACGGACAAATGTTTCACTTAGTGATTGACGCTTTCTAGAAATGGCCAGAAATAGTACCTATGTTCTCTATTACAACAGAAAAGACAGTAGAAGCGCTCAAGAATTTGTTGTGTAAATATGGCATTCCTAGAACAATCGTCTCAGACAACGGAACTTCATTTACTTCGCAAGGTTTTAAAGATTTCTGCCTGCGCAATAATATCAAACATATTACGTCTCCAGTAGCTCACCCAAGTTCTAATGGACAAGTGGAGAAAAATGTAGATACCTTTAAAAGAGCTCTGAACAAATTACAGTACAATAAAGAGCCTAGCTTGTTCACAGACAACTTGAGGACATTTTTATTTCGCTATCGAGCTACACCTCACACTGCAACTGGACAAACACCTGCATTTTTGTTCTTGGGTCGTAATCTGCGAACTAAATTAGATTTTATCAAACCTTCACAAGAGATAAACTCAAGAGATAAACCTTCTGAAGTGCTGCGATATAATAAAAACAGAGGCTTTTCCATTGGGAGTAAAGTGTACATTCGTACTTTTGTTGAAGGGAAAGTAAAATGGAAAATAGGAACCATACTTAGACAGTTAGGTAGGAACACATGGTTGATTGATTCCAATGGACACACTAAAAGACATACAAGTCAAATTCGGAAATGCCACCAAGACAATGAATCGGAAGAGGAAGACGACCCCTGCATTAAACAATTACCACAGCTACTGTCTTCTTCAGATTTCCAAGTACAAAATCCAGAAAACCATGGATCACCAGCTGTATTTCCTAGCCCTAGATCCCTACAGTAGCTTCACAACATCCGAATGTCCCTCCTCAGCTACGATCTAGAACATCAACTGCAGAAGCTTTACCCCACCCGAATGTACCTCCTCAGCTGCGAAGATCAACAAGGACCTTCAGGCCACAGAGGAGGTTAATTGAAGAAGCCTAAACTTGGTGGAAAGAAGTGATATGTTTTTAACATTATTTAATTGCAGCTGACTTTTAAGTTGTTATTATTATTGTTTTTTGTTTTCTAGTTTTGACTCATGAATAAGTTCAGTTCTATTTTATTAAACTAATTTACCTATCAATTTATGTATTTACTTCAAACATAAAAAATAGGTTGAATTGAAAATCAATTCAGACAAAAATGGAAATTCGCTTAGTCTGCAGGTTTGCTGTGGCGGAGGTATTTGCTTGAGTTATCGCGCTAATGGACACACACATATATCTAATCACTACAGTTTTCATAATACATACATATATATATATATATGGGATCACATCATTTGTCCGAGTTTTCAACTGTCCGAGTTTGTTAAAAATTACAAAATATTTGAAAAATCATTTGTCCGAGTTTTCAACTGTCCGAGTTTTGATAAATAACTAATAATAATTAGATAAATCAACTGTCCGAGTTTTCATTTGTCCGAGTTTATTAAATTATTTTAAAAAATATCGAAATATCAAGTGTCCGAGTTTTCAACTGTCCGAGTATGGTTTAAATAATAATAATATTTCGTTAAATCAACTGTCCGAGTTTTCATTTGTCTGAGTTTTTAAATTATTTAAAAAATTATCAAAATATCATTTGTCCGAGTTTTCAACTGTCCGAGTAGGGGCAACATCAAAATGTGACACTGCGCGCCGAGACTAGCGTGTCTAAAGCGCCTGTTCGGAAGTCGATGTGAACCCCTCCTGTGAAGGAGTCAGGCATTGTGCCGCGAGAGCCCCTCACGTCGACTTAAAAAAAAATTTAATATTTTAATTATAAATTCTAAATCTTCTAAGAAGGAGCACGGGTTTACACAATTGGATTTCAGGCCCTTACGATCGGGCCCGATTTAGGGTCCCGAGATCGGGTCGTCTCAGGCAATGTGGTGTCTAGGGCAAAGTCCAATACCGCACCCCTTGCCCTCATGTACTACAACGCTCACGGGGGAGAAGACACTGTGCGATAAGAATTTCTGCACAGTGCTCGCCATTCGGGTCTGTAAAGAAACCGGAAAATTTTATATTTTGAGTGCCCAAAATGAAAAAAAAAAAAAACAATTTTTACCCCATAAAACCCTCTATAACACCTCCAAAGTTCAATAATGCTGGTTTGCGAACTTGTTTGAATAAATGTAGGTTTACACGTTTTCATCAAAATTGGGTGATTTTTACTTGAGTTATCATGCTAATGGACGTATACATTTGAGTGAAGCGATGGTGTTTTGGCCAGGTCTAAATTCACCAACATTTTTGGGGTCGTTTCTAATGTCCAAATTCACCAACTTTCTACCTTTAGCAGGTACGATATTTCTCCCGGCGGGCGGGGAAGGAATTCCCTCCGAATAGTTTGCCATCGCCTGCTCCGTCTCGTCTCGGCGAGAGTGTACTGTAACCTAACCTAACCTAACCTAACCTAACCTAACCTAACCAAACCTAACCAAACCTAACCAAACCTAACCAAACCTAACCTAACCTAACCTAACCTAACCTAAAGCTGCCTGAAACAATCACAGCTTAAACAGTACTATTAGGGCTAAGCAGTACACTCTCGCCGAGACGAGACGGAGCAGGCGAGGGCAAACTATTCGCAATTCCTTCCCCGCCCGCCGGGAGAAATATCGTACCTGCTCCAGGTAGAAAGTTGGTGAATTTGGACATTAGAAACGACCCCAAAAATGTTGGTGAATTTGGACGTAGCCGGTGTTTTGGCCTCAAGGAATAGCAAAACAGAAGGGTCTTACCATGAGACCTAGGGTAATAGCTTATTCCCTATATGGGAAGTTCATTAAAACAAAGAATTGTTTACTTTAGCATCCTTTTTCCCTTCATAATCTAGTACAAAAATGAAAGATAATACTGAACAAACTAAAGTATAATATTAGAACACTATGAGAGGCTCATTAAACTACGTTATCTCAGGGAAAAAAATTCAAATTCAAATTCACTTTATTGTCACATAAAAACATTTGTACATAGCAAAGCTATTAAACTGGTGACATTGTCAATTCAATATAAACCTAAAAATACAATTAAGTTACAGAACATTTTCGTCTGACTCTAAAACAACAATTACATATAACAATGCTGCTTAATTTTGTAAAACGTCACTTACAGAGTAAAATACTTGGTTTAAAAGATAACTTTTTAGAGTATTCTTAAAACTTTTTAAACGGATTTGGCTTTTAATGTTTGTCGGTAGATTATTAAAGAACTTCATACCCATGTAACTAGGGCCCTTTTCATAGATTGTTAAGTTATGTATTCGGTATTGAAAATTGTCTTTGCACCTTGTGTTGTATGCATGTAAATGCTGCTGTCCACAAAGAAGATCAAAATTCTTCTGAATGAACAGTAAGCATGAATATATATAGAGAGAGGGAAGGCTCAATAATCCTAACTGTTTAAAGATTGGCTTGCATGAGACTCGTGGCCGCGAAAATGTCATAATGCGAACAATTCTTTTTTGAAACTTGAATATTTTTTTCCAATCAGCTGATGAACCCCATAGCTCAATTCCATATTTCATAATGGAATAAAAATAGGCAAAATAAACCATTAATCTAGTTTCCAAATCAGTTCTATCCCTTAACACAAGCATTTGGAAACAAGCAGAATTCAGTTTATTACCGAGTATTGTTATGTATTTTTTCCAGTTTAAATTTTGGTCAATTGTTAATCCCAAAAATTTATTCTGTATTTTAGATGTAATTTCAGTATTTAAAAATTCAACTGCAAATGTTGTAGGGTCATTACTTTGTGCTGTTTGAAATTTCATCAGATTTGTTTTTTCACAATTTAGTTTTAGTCCATTAGTACGAAACCATACTTCAAGTTCCTCCATAGCATTGATAGTAAGTATTTTAAGCTCATGTTCACTTTGAGCCTTAAGCAGGGCAGTGGTGTCATCTGCATATAAAATGAGGTTTGTATTAATGTTGCCATCAAGATCATTTATATAAAGGTTCTATGAAAACTAGCTACAATTGGTCCATATTGATAGGATGTCTACATATAGTCAAAACTGTAAGTTAATTTTTCACAAAATACATCTTAAATAACAACAACAATACAAGAATAATGTGTGTCATGCGTGTAATTTCTAGTTTTGTCAATCTTCTTCTGGAGCAAATGGATCGTGAAAATATAAAAAAGTTGAAGAAAGAACAAGAAGATGAGGAGGATAATGCGATGGAAGAAGAGGATGGAGATGAATTAGTAAATGGTATGGAAGCAGAAGATTGTGATTCTGATGAAGATAATCATTTAGATAAGACATTATGGGGTGAGGAGCTTACTGATGGGGAATCATCTGCTTCAAAATATTGTGCAAAGAAAAATGGAAAGAAAGTACAAGAAAGGAGAAATGAGGAGAGGATAGAAGAAATGTCTGATGCTGAGAAAAAATTATTACTTGAAGAATTCAGATCTAATATGTTCTCAAATTTTCTTCAGGGAAAAGATGCTGACTTTGACTACAGGTGAGATTTAGCCTTTCGATATATTAATATTAAAAGTTAGCTTATATCTTAAGCTTAATATGTGCACTTTGAAATATTAAAAACAAAAAATATTTTGAATTTTGTGAAATATTTGATTGAAAATTGAAAGAACAATGATGAAGTGAACCTTGTAGAAATTAGAGGTGTGTGGATAGTGAAATTTGAGTTCGGATCGGATTCGGATTGGATAGTAATAAGTTCGGATTCAGATATTTTCAGATTCGAATAGTTCGCTGTTGTTTAATAAATTAATAGCAAGGTTAATAAGTTAACGTCATTTTTATATATCGTAACATCTAATTTGAAACTGATTTTCTTTGTCATAGCTAAATTGAGAAAACGGCTGGGCGTAGAAACTCGGTAGAGGTGTCTAAAGAAAGGTGTTGGTCTGTAGATGAGCCACCAAAAGAGAAACGTGTTAAATTCCCTTGGGGCCCTGTCCCAGTAGCCTTTGAATTCCCATCCCATGTTATTCTTATGGCGGAAAAACTGGGTTTTTGTCCCAGCTAATTTGAGAGAATGGCTGGGCGTAGAAACTTGGTAGGAGTCTCTAAAGAAAGGTCTTGGTCTATAGATGAGCCATCAAAAGAGGAAAGAGGTAAATTCCCTTGGGGCTCTGCCCCAGAAGCCTTTAAAGTTGCCTCTTCAAATTTGTTTACATTACGACTATGTGAATAATTCTACACTACTTTTTAATGAAACAGATGTTAATATTTAAATTGTGATTTATTGAATTTTTCAAAATGCAGTACAGTATTTGCAATGGGTTTTTCTGATTTAAGAATCGATTTTATTCTGCATCGTGTCATGTTTTGCAATATAATGTTCTATTACCAAATCAGTGGAAAATCCTAATATCACAGTAACTCTTAAAATTATTTCTTATGGAGTTAACTTATATCTATTGTATGGCTTGGTTTCTGCCTTTTTTTTACCACTTCTTGGAGATTGTACGTAGGTGATATTCTTTGGCGTATTGCATCTGTAGACGAAACTTGGGTTGGTGAAATTATTACAATGGAAAAAAGCGAGAAATCCTGGACAATTTGATATAGGCTAAAAATAAAACTGAATTAACAATGTGCTACATTTCTTGAACAATCATTGAAATAACCGATTTGCAAACAATGGAAACATAGAAAAAAAGTCATAGAACACAACCAAGTAGAAGAAAAGAAATAATGTTTTTTGTTTTAATTTATAATCGTTATTATAGACAACCTAATGCAGCTATGAGAGGGAAAAATTTGTAGAAACACTAAGAAAGAAGATCAGCTTTTTGAGAAAAGATAAGATATTTACAAAAGATTTAGATTATATCTAACTGTTGTGTAGATCGTGAGTATTTCCATAATCTTTGAGTCGCCTGTAATAAACATCTTTACGGTCTTTCCATTTGATTGCGAGCACTCCTCTGCCAGACCTCCTAAAAAAATCTCCTTTTTCCAAATCAGTTTTCAGGAATATTCTGGGCATGCATCGTCTGTTGCAAATGGCTGTTCCTACAGCATAAGTGTCTTCTTTCAACAAAGCAGTGTACAGTAATGGAGAGGAGTACCAGTTGTCCAAGTAGGCTATATACCCTTTCCCAAAAAAAGGTTGTAAAAGATCAAGAGTCACTAAAGTGCTCGCTAACACATCGTCTTGCTTGTCGTCACCAACATAGATCTAGAACACCATACAGTAGCCAGATGATGACTCGCACACTTTGTAGATCTTTACCCCAAAACGGGCCCTTTTTTTGGGGTTGAACTGAATAATACCAAGGCGGGATCTCATTTTGAGTAAGGTTCCATCCAGAGCAATTTTCTTTTCTGGCTCATATGTCTGTAAAAACTTTGTTTCTAGGTATCGAATAACTGGTCGAATTTTCTTCAATTTATCATTCTTCAGGTTTTCTGTCGCTTCATCATAAAAATGGAGGAATCTAGAAATAGAATTGAAACGCTCCATTGACATTGTGTTGCTGAATATCGGAGTCTCAATTATTTTTCTATGTACATTTGAGTCGAGGGTTTCTTCAGTTGACCCATTAGCACATAAAGTGCAAAGTAGGCCTTCATCTCCCCTACATCAACATCACGCTACTTCTCATCAGTCTTCAATGATTTCCTGGTTTCGTCTAAAAGCTGTTTTCTGGCGTAGTCATTTGATTCTGTGCAGAGCATCTGCCAAAATTCCTCCCCAACCAACTGTCCAAAATAATCAAGCTCAGTAGGATTTACGCCAAGACCACGTTGAACCCTAACATTTAGTCCTGGTGTACCTTGAAAATCAATTTTTTTGGGCATATTGTCCTCATCTAACCACGGCCAATCGGAGTCCTGGAATTTAGGTTTCTTTTTCTTAGCAGGTTGATTTTTCTTAGCAAGTTGATTTTTCTTAGGCCTAGGCTGTTTAGGTTTTTTTCTTTGGTACTTACATTTTTTAGGGGGTTGAGTGTGATTACATTGCTCAGGTTGTATAGTAGGGTTATCATTGAGGCAATTGTCTCCTCCACCACCAACTATTGGGCCTAGGTCTACAATTTGTTCCTCGGTATCAATTTCCATAGGTCCACTAGAAATATTGAGGCCAGATACACCAGGCCTATCTGAATGCACAATATTATCCTGAATATCATTATCTAGGCCAAGGCCTAATTGAAAAGAAATACTTTCACAGTCACTTTCCTCCCCACTACCATTATGCACTACATTTTCGTCCAACTCTCTGAACCCCTCTTCATTGTCACTTACAAAGTCAGCATCTTCATAATCACTATCAAGTAACATTTGTTCAACTTCAGACGATCTAGTATCTTTTAACATTTTATAAAAAACAATCAAACACAGTATTCATTACTAACCAAACAAACACCAAATAATTCCAAACACATTCGTGAGGTTAGCCAAAACAAACATACAACTACGTCAGAACGATCGCATATGACAAAATGTAAACACACGTACAGGTTACCAACTTATAAAACAAAATACTCTACTATTCAAGTTTTTATAAATCAGTATATTTCAAGAAATATAATAAAGTAAATCAATGTATAATAGCCCATATCGTCATCCCAAAACACTGAAATGGACTGTGAACTCTGCTTCTAAATAAATAGTTTTAGTATATAAATATTTTCTAAATAATTGTCGTAATTGACAAAGAAATGCGTAAAACAAAGTTCCACTGCCATCTGTTGGCGAAATATGGAACTACGTCGACCCTGGAGTAGACTACAGTACGATTGTAATTCACTACGGAACAGTCTCGTATCTCTACGTCTGACCCGGATCGCGGCGCTACGAGACAGACTCGTATGTCTAGGCCAATGGGTTAACACATCAAAAAGCGATTTTTTTCAGAAGAGTGATTTTCCTAGGCTATCGCATAGACGATAAGGGTATTCACCAAACAGAGGAGCTTACTAAGGCTATTACTAATGCTCCACGTCCAGAAAATGTCACTCAATTGAGGTCGCTCCTAGGATTAGTGAATTTCTATGAAAAATTTCTTCCAAACCTTTGAACTCTGCTCCACTCTGGGACAAATCACGTGAAGAGGCCTTTTTAAAATGTAAAAATCTCCTTTTGAAAGATAACGTCCTAATGCTTTTCAACCCAGAGTTAGATATTGTAGTGACTACAGACAGTTCCAGCTACGGGGTTGGATGTGTACTAGCCTATTCCCTACCTGATGGCACAGAAAAAGACCAACCGCCTTCTCATCAGGGAGTTTGTCAAAAAGCGAGGTGAAGTACAGCCAAATAGAGAAAAATGCATTAGCAATTGTGTACGTTGTAAAAAAGTTTCACAATTTTCTATATGGCAGGAGATTTGTCCTAGTGACCGACTATAGACCGCTCATATTTTTGTTTGGTTCTGCAAAAGGAATCCCAACACTTGCTGCCGTCAGGATTCAAAGGTGGGCGCTGACTCTTGCAGCGTATAACTACGAAATTAGATACCTTAAGGGCACGGATATATCCAACGCAGATGCGTTGTCTAGGCTTCCTTGTGAACTTCCCGAAGTAGAGGGCGAAATATCATTCTTCTCATCCACATCTGAACTTCCAATCACCTCCAAGGAGATAGCAACAGCTACTAAATTTGATCCGATACTTTCAAAGGTTCTGGATTTCACATCCAACGGTTGGCCTCAAATGTTTCAGATAACAACTTGAAACCGTATTTCTCTAAAAGTTCACAACTGTCAGTTGAGCAAGGATGTTTGTTGTGGGGATGTAGGGTTGTCATACCACCACCTCATCGGAAGGAAATTTTGATTTTGCTTCACCCAGAACATCCAGGCGAGTTGCGCATGAAGGCGCTAGCTAGAAGTTTTGTATTTTGGCCCGGAATGGACGCCGACATTGAAAGTGTGGTCAAAGACTATGGCATCTGTCAGAAGACATGTAATTTTCCCCTCCACTTGCCCCGTTACAACCTTGGGCTTGGCCAAAACACAGTTGGCAGTGACTTCACTTAGATTTCGCCTCTTTTGAGGGTTTTTAATAGTGGTGGATGGGTTTTCTAAGTGGCTAGACTTTTTCCATATGCCAACAACAACTTCACGACAGACGATTGAGAAACTAAGGAGCTGTTTTGCAACATTTGGCATACCGGCTACTGTAGTTACGGACAGGGGACCACAATTTACCTCACAGGAGTTTAAAGAATTCTTATACTCAAACGGAGTTCATCATGTCTTATCTCCCCCATACCACCCAGCTTCAAATGGTCTTGCTGAGAGGGCAGTGCAGACTGTAAAAAACACCTTCCTACGATAGATGTTGCTCGACACCAAACACAATCAAGCTCGTTCACTTCAACATCGGATTGATTCATTTTTATTAACTTATAGAAACACTCCACACTCAATGACAAACTTGACACCTTCAGAAATCATCTTCAAATTTAAACCCAGAACCCATCTAAATTTATTGAAACCTCATCCGGCTGAACAAATGTTATCAAAACAGGAAGGGATGGTGAGAAGTGCCAACATTCACAGAGGAAATCATCGAGCATTTTCTGTCAATGAAGAGTTTAAGTTAAAACCGTACGTAATGAAAAGGTAAAATCGCAACCGGGTATTGTAATCAAAATAAGTAGTCCAGTTACATACATTGTCAAGGTAGATGGCTTTACAAGATTTGTCCATGTTAACCATTTGCATGCTGATCTCTCAGTGGAAGACGAGGAGGATGATGTGCTGTTACAATTCCCAAGAGAACTTTACAAATCGCCCAAGGATAACCCTTCCAACATCGGCCAGCAAAATTCACCTGCAAAATCAAGCTCACCTCCCAAGACCTTGTGAGTAACAGTATAAGCGTAAATATATGTTTTAAATGTTATAAGACGTTTCTTTTATTTACTTTCCGTGTATTTATTTGTTGATTTGGTTATTTTCCACAGCGACGATATGATATGAATGTTTTAGTTTTGTATCATAGACGATGACTCATCGACCGCTGTAACGTCGATGTGAACGATTGGTTTTGAAATTATTACATCATGGGATACTAATGATGATATAAGTAACCTTATGAATATTTTGACCTCTGTCTCAAACGTCATTGTATACAGTCTAACCGGAAATGTCGGATATTTAACAGATAGTGTCAGATATCAAATTTGGGCTCAAAAACCGACCCGAAATTTCAGATATCCGCACACCTCTACTAGAAATAATTAACTATGTTTGCTCATATTTTTTAACAATGTAGGATTGAAGGACTGCAAATTAGCTTGAAAATATAGTTGAATTGCATACATTATCTCTCACATCTATATTTAGAATTGATTTAAGAGTAAATTAGTGAAATTGTTCTTTTTATCATAGCCAAGTTGACAACAACTCGGATTATGATGATTTGGAAGTGAGAGGGCAAGATGAAGAGGAGAAATACTTTGATGAGGAAAGTCCACAGGATGGCATGTCCACCGGGATGTCAGATGATGAAGACTTGCTAGAGCAGTACATGAGCAAGTTGAATCCCGAACCTACAACCCAACAGTTGACGGACAAAATGAGCTGTCTGAGTCATCAAGAGACTTACAGTACTTAAATTTACTATACAATGTGCAATTCAACTCAAAAATAAGTGTTTGTTTGGACTCAAGCTATTGTAACAGATTTTAAAACAAAGTAATAAAAGAGGGCCGATTCTATAAAGGAATACCAAGAATACCTTCATTTAGCATGTAAAATTAACTGCCAAGCGACAATTAATTTAGTTGCAAACTAATCAGGTGCCAAAACAATTTTGAAATTCTGGTAACTCATTTTGATATGAGTTTTTATGGATGTTTTACAGAAACAATGGTTTGAAACAATTTCAAATAGATCAAACATACATAAAACAATTTTAAAATTGTTGCGAGCTTGTATAAAAACAATTTTGATAACAGTTTTTGAAGTCGAAGCTGTATAAATTGTTTTGAAACAATTTCACAGTTTTGATATGAGTTTTGAAGTAGTATTTAATTTAAGTAACACTTATATAAACAATTTTGATATAGTTACTAACAAACTGATTTAAAAACAATTTTAAAATTGTTCAAAACTTATTTTGAAAATGTTGCAAACTCTTTTAAAATTTGTATATAAAATTTTTTGTCGTTTCAACAATATTTATGCTGACCAGGTTTGGAGGTGAATAAACTGTTTAATATTATTTTATCAGGCATCAGTTTTATGGTAGAGTCCTCCCTTTAGGCCAAGATCATCTTACTGTACATATTTAAAAATGCAGAGTTTTTTTAAACATTTTATTTGAAGATTCTGAATCAACCACTGACTTAATCCTAGAGTGCTGAAGTGGCAACCGACAACATTTGTTAATATTGACTAAGGTAACATTTTTACCGGTTGCATTTTTTGCACAAGTATAGTTGGTGACATGACATAACTCTTATACCAATGGAGGGATGAGATTCTGTTTCATTTTGTCATAAGAATGAGCCTTATAACATAAGTATATCAATCTAACCATGAGTTACATTTGAATGAAAATAACAGGCTAACTGCTGACCGCCATGTTTTGTTGTAAAATCTTAAAAGATTAGTAATTTAAAAAAAAAATCATAGCAGACGTAATTTTTGTTTATCGCAAAGACAAGACTTGGTACCACTGCAACAAGGAGGAAGTAGACTTTCATTCTGTATAAAATGTAATGTCATAATACATTCCTACAGCTGATAAAAATTTTTTTGTAAATAGCCAACTTTTACCTAAGAATAGTGTGGCGAATCGACAAAAATTGTCTATCTCTGAAATGCATAATATAAAATTGTGAAAAGTACAAAAACGTGACGAAAAAACGTAGAATTAAATGTTGTCAGGTTGGTCACTGAGGTTGTTAAGATTTTTCAAAGCTGGAAGAAAAGAACACTATTGTTATCGTCTAACCTCAAATGGCGGTGTCATCGAGAGTTTTTGTCCGATAACAAGACAAAGTGTGAGTTAAATCTGTAATTTTACAGTGTAATGTGCATTTTAGTGTAGTGTTGTGTATTAGGTGTAATATTTATGCATTATTTTGCACAAATATTTACACACTTGATCCAAAATAGGATATAAAGTCACTGAAGTTTTGTGTTATTTTGTGGCCTATAACAGCTGATCAGTGGTTTTGTTTACATTTTTGCTCATGTGAAAACAACGTATTCTATTATTTGTCTTATTTAGAATTAGCACCAGGGGACCCAGAATTGCTCGTGGTGTTTTATTTGAGGCCTACATAATATGTACAATTTCCATGATATTATAAAATACAGTCACAAATAAAACAAATTACAGTAGAACCCTCATATCCAACCTGGGAATAATTGACTCCTCGGGATATCTGACCTAGTGTCCGACCATCTACTTGTTTCCTGTCTGGGGTGATAACAACGAGCACGATCGGGTTAGCCGAAAGGAGGCCGATCGTGGATGTTGCCTAAAGCTGCGTTTACAAAACAACAAGTTTCAAACTTTTATTGCAAACAGCAGTTGCAAACAGGACGTTTTCTCGAAGATCAAGAAGAGAAGGTTCGGGAGGAGCAACAAGAGGGCATCCAACAAGAAAGTGTCCTGGAGAAAGAAAATTAGTTTCTTCTGGACTACCTGACAAAGGACAGAGTGGTCTTGAATTGAGAACTGCTTCTACTTGGGTGAGCAAGGTTGACCACTCTTCATAAGTCAAAGCAGTTTCTCCAGCTATCTTCCTCAAATGTGTCTTGGCTGATTTCACTGCGGACTCCCACAGTCCACCAAAGTGTGGGGAGTAGGGAGGATTGAAATTCCATTTTACATCCAGTTTAGTAGTTTGCTGTAGAATTTCTTCTTGTGTAGTCTGATTGGAGTACCATATTCCCAACTCTCGAAGACGATTAGCTGCTCCTCTGAAGTTGGTTCCACAGTCGGAATACACTTGTTCAGGAAGACCTCTCCTCTTCTAGAAATAAAACGTCTGAAAGCAGCCATAAAGGCATCTGTTGAGAGTGCGGTTACCAGCTCTAAATGCAAAGCTTTAGTAGCCATGCAGACAAGAACACAGATGTAAGTCTTGGCAGTGGTTGCTTTTCTTCTTAACGACTCTCTCATAGTCAAAGGTCCAGAAAAGTCAACACCAACATGTAAAAATGCTCGGCTTACATTCCCTCGTGGCGAAGGAAGATCAGCCATCATCGGAGAAAAGGTTTCAGCCTTTAGCTTGAAGCACCTTAGACATTTGAAGGTTCGCTGACGGACAATATTTCTCAGTGATGGTATCCAAAATCGTAATTGAATCAGAGCTTGAAGCAAGTTGGGTCCTGGGTGTAGGTAGATTTTATGGTAATAATCTACCAACAATAAGGTGAAATGACACTTTGGCAGAAGGATTGGTTGTCTTTGATCTTCTGGGATAGCTGCATTATTTAGCCTGCCGCCCACCCTGAGAATCCCCAATTTGTCAATGAAAGGGGTAAGTTTATGAAACTTATTGAGGACAGCAGTTGCACATCTTCTGTCGCCATCAATAGAGAAAAAGTGTGATTGAATTTTCTTGATGCAGGATAGTAAGGAATCTTGAATTTCCTTAGGCTGAAGGGGTCCTTTAAGACGACTAGTACTGTGCAGTTTAGCTTGACAATTGTAGATAAATCTTCTGATCCAAGATACTACACGTAAAAGTTTCTAGTATGAAGAATAGTTTTCCATCATCTTGATAAGCTCTGGCTCAGTACTATTTGAGACAAGCACTTGTGGTTCAGCTTTCACTTCAGGTAGGGGCTGCTGCTGGAACTGTACTATAGACTCTGGCCATTTATCTTCAGGCATATTCATCCACTTAGGGCCATGCCACCATAGATCACAGTTAGTTAGTTTATCTGGTAAAAGTCCTCTAGAACCATGGTCACTAGGATTTTCCTCTGATTTAATGTGTCTCCAAGATGAAACAGGCATATGTTCCGAGATATGTGCAACTCTGTTTGCTACAAAAACTTTAAGCTTGTAAGTTGGTGTAATCAGCCATCCTAAGACAATTGAAGAATCAGTGAAGAAAATAGGCTTCTTAAACTGATTACTGAAAACACGATGAGTTTTAATAAAAATCCTACAAACACATCATTGAATAGGAGCTCAAATGAGCAAAATGAAGCGTCTGAAGTGGAGCAGAACCCCTTTGATCGAAGCTCCAAGCTTAAGAGGTCGCCACCACCGAAAAACGTAAGGACATCTCCGCCACCTGCACCTTTCAAGTGCTCTACGTTCCCCCCGTTAGGATCCCTTTCGGCAAGTGGAGCTGGAAACAGTCCAGAAAATGTTGGCGATGTAGATGTCGAACTTTGGCATTGCCGGGAACTGTTGTAGGGATGCCGAAGGAAACCTTCACAGCGACGTCGCGGTCGGAAAGCTCTGAGATTGTGCTTCTGCGTCAGGAATATCTTGACGCAGATAGTAACATTGAAACCCGGCTCCGTGTCATGGAAAAGACGATTAAGGCTATGCTGGACACCTTCCGGACCCAGAGAGCCGTAAACCAAGTGGTAAAAAATGGAATGGCAAAACTAGAGGATGACCTTGGCTTCGTCTTTGCCTGCCGTCTGGTAAGCAAGGCGACCATGGAAAAGATTGCCGAAAAGGTGGTGTCCCTGCCCGATGAAAGAGCGCTGCCTTCTAAGAAACGTCGGAGGCCTTCCACATTGGAGAGTCCTCCAAAAAGAGAAGAAGGCGTCCAGACCAAAAAGACCACGGTAAAGGCCAAGGCAACTCAGACGGACCTCTCGTCTGCTGTGCCCAGACCCTTTTCGGACGTAGCTGCATCTCGAGCGAGGCGCCAACTGGCACAGCAACCCACGACCCCTCTTCAGGGAAGTTCCCGAAAGGGGTCAGTGGTGGAGACACCTGGGGCTGTTTGGGAAAAACGCCTTTCCAAAAAGGAGAAGAGGCAATTGAGGCGGGCGGAGGTCGCCTCCATGAAAAATGAGGCAGTGAAGGCACAGCCAACTGGCGTGGCCCAAACTGGGCCCGGTTCGGTGCCTGCACCTAAAAGGTTGCGGCCAAAAAAGCCCAGGATGGAGGCAATCATTGTCAAACCCTCAGGGGGGAGATCTTTTGCCGAGGTCTTGGGTGCAATCAAGGCCAATGCTAAGCCAGAGCAGACCGATACGGTTGTACGGTCGATTAGACAAACCCGGGGCGGGGACGTTCTCCTTGAACTGGGTAGGTCGAAAGACAAAGCAGCCTTTACTGCCGAACTGAAGGCAGCTGTCGAAGGCCAGGGCACCGTCCGTTCTCTTGAGCCAAAGACATCAGTCGAGGTTCGAGACATTGATTGTGTGTCGACGGAGGCTGATGTTGTGGAAGCCCTGAAGAAAGCTATCCCCGAGCTTGGTGGGCAAACAGCTTTTCTGAAGGTGTGGCTCACAAAACCGAATAGGAGCCAGCAGCGGATGGCGGTCGCCGAAATGGCAGACGCACATGCCAATAAGGTGCTGGCACTCCAACATCTGAGAGTCGGCTGGGTCAACTGCAGGCTCAGACGGAGAGTGGAAGTAAAGAGGTGTATTAAATGCCTCTGTTTCGGCCATTCCTCCCGAAACTGCAAGGGACCCGACCGAAGCAAGAACTGCCTTCGGTGCGGGGAGGTCGGTCACATCCATAAGGACTGCCAAGTCAAGACCTGTTTTCTTTGCAAAGAAAATGGGCTCGCTGAAAAACACTTGAAGCATATAGCTGGGTCTGGACAGTGCAGTGCATTTAAATCTGCACTACAACAAGCGAAAGCCCTCCCACGAAGATAAGAATCCTTCAATGCAATCTTGAGCGATCCAGGACGGCTGACGCACTTCTATGTCAGCTTGCCCTAGAACACGATGTCGACGCGCTTTTAGTCAGCGAACAGTACCAGTACCGTGATAGGGACCCAGCTTTTTGGTTCCCTGATAGTCTTGGTACTGCTGCAATCTGGGCGCGTAATGCAGCTACAGTACAAGTACGGGGTCACGCGAAGGGCCGAGGTTTCGTTTGGGTTCGGTGCCGGGATGTCACTTACTTTAGTGTCTACCTCACTCCCAATGAGGCCATCCGTGACTTTCGTGAGAAGATAGACCGCCTGGAAGAGAGCGTGCGCAATACCACAGTACACGTCGTCGTGGGTGGGGATTTTAATGCTAGGGCTGTCGAGTGGGGAATGACCCTCACAAATTCCCGGGGCAAGTACATTCTGGACTTTGCTGCCAGAGCCGGACTCGTTGTCGTCAACGAGGGCAACACGCCAACTTTCCGGCGCCCTGGGATGCGGGGAACGATCCCAGACATTACCCTTGCATCTGAGTCTCTTTTGCCAAGGATCAGAGCCTGGAGAGTCCTGGAGGATTACACGGCCAGTGACCACCAGTACATAATTTTTGACGTCCTGGATGGTCATCAGAGACAAGTGGCAGCGTTTCGTCAAGTGCCCGTTCGATGGAACATAAAAAAACTGGACGTGGCAAAATTCAATGGAGCCATCCTACGAAGAACGCCGGTGGTTCATCCTGCAACTGGCGTGCCTCACGCAGAGGCGTTAGTTGCATCCACGATGAAACTGATTGTCTCGGCCTGCGATGAGTCTATGCCTCGCAGGAGATACCGGTGCAATAAGCGTCCTGTGTACTGGTGGACTGCCGAGATTGCGGAATTGCGTCGAGCGGCATGGAGGGCCAGAAGACTTGCTACCAGGGCTAGAGAACCCCTAGACAGACGGCGTAAGTCGGATGCTTATAGGGTGGCTAGGAGGTATCTTCGTCGAGCCATCAATCGGAGTAAACGCAGTTGCTGGGATAAATTAAGGGACGATGTTGATTCCAACCCGTGGGGCCTGGGTTACAAACTTGTAACCAAGAAACTTGGAACCCGCTCTCCACCTTCCGTCATGGACAGGGTCACTATGGAGAGGATAGTCGAGTCCCTTTTCCCGGCTCACGCGTTGCGCCCACTGCGGGATTTTGGAAGGGTGGACGACGTCCCACTTTTCAGCCCTGAAGAGCTGGTGGCGGCCGTCATATCCCTGAAGAACAACAAGGCTCCTGGTCCCGATGGGGTGCCCGGTGAAGTCCTCAAGAAGGTTTTGACTACCAACCCCTTGATCCTTTTGAGCATGTATAACGCCTGCCTGGTTGAAGGGGTTTTCCCCTTGTGCTGGAAGACAGCTAGGCTTGTGCTTGTTGGGAAGGGCAAGGGAGACCCAGATCTGCCATCCTCTTACAGACATCTGTGTATGTTGGATACGGCTGGCAAAGTCCTCGAGAAATTGATCCGTTCCCGGCTAAGTTCAGCCGTTGTCGCTGCGGGGGACCTCTCCCCTCGTCAGTATGGATTCAGGATGGGGCGATCAACGATTGATGCGATTGAGGAGGTGAAGCAAGCCGTGATGAGAGCTGAGGATTTTACCCACTACTCTCGCAGGGTTGTGCTGCTCGTAACGCTCGATGTGCGAAATGCATTTAATTCGGCG